GTAGGTGTTGACTTCGTCGGCCTCGTATCGCAGGTGGGGGCCCACGTTGCCCGTGCCCATGATGATGCCCACGGAGTTCTCCACCGAGTAGAAGGGCGCGTAGTTGTGGAAATTCGTCACACCATCTGATCACACGCATCACACGACACAGAGAAAAATGGATGCACGTGTGTGAGAGTGCCTGCGTGTGTTTTTACGTAGGTGCAGCCAGCATCTGTCGGGGGGGCACTCGATCTTGTTGCCGGTGGAGTCGATCTTGGGCGCCCTCAGGTACGACCACACGGCCCCCTTGTCGAACGAGATGACCGTCTTGACGACATCCTCGGCCTTCGACCGCCGCTTGGGTTTGTGCCGCGAGTCGACCGCCGTCTGGCTGACCTCCTCCTCCTGCTGCTCGGCCGCCTTGTCCTCAGTCTTCTTCTCAACCGCCGCAGCAGACAGCGCGCCTTCGGCCTCTGGGTCGTCCTTGAAGTTGGCCAGGTACACGCCCTCGAGTGAGAGAACGCGGTCGAATTCGGTCTCGCCTGTGGTGGTGCGGACGTTGCTGGGTAGGGAGAGGGAGTACCTGAGGCCCTTGTGGTCAGAGATGTACACATTGCCGCTGCCCGACCGGCCCTCGTCGCCGTGGTTGACGTGCAGCATCACGGCCCCCTCGGACGTGTCCAGGACCGTGTAGGACTTCTCCGACAGCTCGAAGGGCAGCTTGGCCTTCTCGAAGGTCTTGCCGCCGTCGGTCGAGACCATCAGAGCGACCGTCTGCTTGGCCTCGTCCTCCGACTTGGCCACGAAGGTGTAGCCATTAGAGACGAGGAACTTGTTGCCGTGGTGCATGAGGACCCGGTGGGAGCGGCCGAAGTCCTCGGTGACGGCGAAGTCGACGTTCTTGGTCCAGCCGCCGTACTTCGGCTGGCCGCCCTCCTTGGTGCGGTGGTGGGTGAAGTAGATCCAGTTCTGCTGATTGTGCTTGACGTCGCCCCACGAGAACTGAACCACGTAGCTCGAGACCAGGTGGAACTGCACACCCAGGTCCTTGGTCACATACAGCATGTGGTTGCACGCCTTGTCCGTCGCCGCACCCCCGGCAGCCGTCTTGGCCGGCTCGCTCGCCGTGTGGCACTGGTCACTCCAGGCGCTCAGCAGCGCCCAGTGCGGCTGCGTGGGATGGAACTGCCACGAGTGGATCGGCACCCGCTGCTTGAGTCTTCTCCAGGTGCGTCCCGCGTCGTTGGAGATGAAGTGGCTGTGCTTGGTGCCGACGACGAGCACAATGTTCTTGTCGACGGGGTTGAGCAGCATGCTGTCGACGGTGATGGCCGTGGCCGGCGCGCCAGGCTCTGTCTCGGAGAGGACGAGGCTGTTGGTGATGTCGTTCCATTGCTTGCCCGAGTCGGTGCTGCGGTACAGCCGTCCCTTGGTGGTCTTGAGAAACACCACGCTGTGATCCGCACCGCCCCACTGGATGTCCTCCACAGCGCTGTCCACCGACACCTCCGTCACGCTCACCTTCTTCTGACCCGACACACACGTGCATGCCAACAAACATGCCACCAGCAGCAGCAGCAAGCGGCGCGTCATCCTGGATCTCCCGTGCCCTGGATCTCCCGTCAGACGATGGTCAAAGGGCAGCATAGATCTTAGCTTTAGCTGGCAGGGAAGCTCAGGCCTCTTCGCCACTAAGCTCGCAAACTTGAAGATCTGCCGCTTCTGCCAGTGTGGTTTCAACGGAGAATTGAGCTTTGCCTGCATCCGGCTCGAGCTTCAGTAGCCAGAAATGGCCGAATTCACCGAAGTTCCCATCACAGCCGTCGATGTGCTTCACATCTACCTCCTTTATGGCGTCCTGGTGGTCCTATGCGCCCTCTGGTGAGCGGCAGGCACCACAGATCTCGCACACATGTGCCACCAGTGCACAAACAACACGGAGACGACACACGCAGAGATGGCGTCTGGGAGCGGTGCGCATGACCCTGCTCCTCGTGTGTGTGTGTGTGTGTGCAGGTCGTCTTTCAAAGGCCGTTGGGAGCGGAGCCACCTGAGCAACGGGGACATTCCCAAGAAGAGGCGGGCCAACCAGAACAGCAACAGCCCCTACAACACCTTCAGCTTCGCGGGCTCCACGGGCTCCGTGCAGTCATACAACCAGGACAATGACGCCAACAACGGCAGCACCGACTGCAAGGCCGACGACAGCAGCAACGGCCGGTCCCAGGAGCAGTGGGGCTACACGTCCTGCCTGCCGGGCAGGCTGCTCTCCCGATCCGTGATAGCATCGGCCGTGGCCTCCCAGGTGCTGCTGGGTCTGTGTCTGTGGATGGAGTGGCGGGTGCCCTTCTCCCAGACGCACCTCTACTGGGACACCCGCGCCAAGTCCTTCGTGCTCGTCTGGTGCCTCAGCGCCGTCATCCTGTTCGGCCTCAAGCTCTTCGAGAAGCACCTCAACACGTTCTTCCTCCTGCGGTCGTCACTAGAGGACGCGACCCACGTGGCCGTGTGGAAGAAGGACGACGACGAGATCTCTATAGAGAATTGCCAGGACGCCGTGATGCGGTGGGTCAACAAGTGGCGGCGGGCCATGAGTCTGTGGATGGGGGCGGGGCGGCCGGGGGGGCGGACCTTCCACTGTGAGGTCAAGACCACGGCGGAGGGGCTGCGGTATTTCGACCTGCAGTGCACGAGATACATGTACAGCAAGGGGGAGTTCAGGCCCTGTGAGGGAGAGGTCCATCAGACCGGTGGGTGGGTGGCCAGACAGACCACAGCACACACAGCCGCCTGTATCCATCCATCCATCGGGTTTGTTTGGTGTGTGTCGTGTCGTGTTGTGTCAGGCCGGTCGTTGCGAGCGCAGGTGGACCGTGGCGGACTGACGGAGAACGAGGTGCACGGCAAGCGGTCGCTCGTGGGCTACAACCGCATCCACGTTGAGGTGCCATCGCTCCTCACCTCAGCAAGCAGGTCAGTCCGCCCGCCCGCACACACTCACTCACTCACTCACCCCGGACCATCACCACTTTGTCCGTTCCTCTCTCTCTCCTCTCTCAGGGAGTTGAGTGACGGCATCTACATATTCCAGCTATTTTGCTTCTGGGTGGGTCTGCACTTCCGCAATGTCATATCGGCGCTGGTGTGGTTCGGGCTGGTCTGCTGGTCGGTGGCCAAGAAGGTGGTGCTGCTGCGGTCCAACCAAAAGTCGGTCCAGGAGATGGCCGAGCAGGCCGCACTGCTCGACGTCATGGTCGTCAGGAACCAACAGCTCGTCACCGTCAAGGCCGCTGAGACCGTACCAGGTGTGTGTGTGTGAGGGGGGGAGGGGGGGAGGGGGGGATTCGTTCTCTCTCTTTTCTTTGTGTGATGTCGCTGTCTGTCTGCCTGCTTGTGTTTGTGTTTGTAAGGTGACGTTGTGGTGATTGAGGACAGCTGGATGGTGCCGTGCGACATAGCCCTGGTCAGTGAGTCACCAGACGCACTGTCCATCCACACACCCAGCAAACTCCAAAATCTGGCCTTCTCTCTCTCGCTGTGGGTCCTTCCATCAGCTGTCGGGCCAGGTGGTGGTCGACGAGTCTTCCCTAACCGGCGAGTCGATGCCCGTCCAGAAGTTCCCACTCGCACCAGAGCAAGACGACACCCTCCTCCACCCAGACAAAGCCAAGAAGCACTTCCTGTTCGCCGGCACCAAGGCGCTCAAGGTCAACAGCGCGCCCCAACAGCAGCAGCAGCAGCAATCGGGTCAGTCGGCCTCCCCTTCTCGCAGCGGCAGCATGAGCTCGCAGAACACGGGAATGCCGATTGGGTGCGGTGTGGGCGTGGCTGTGCGGACGGGGACGAGCACCAGCCGGGGGCAGCTGGTCCGCAACATTCTGTTCCCCAACACGCTGCGGTTCAAGTATGACGAGCAGCTGCCCGTTGTGTTTGTGGTCCTCTGCATATACGCCGCTGTCATCTTCCTTGTGCAGGTGGGTGAGGTGGGGGCACACAGACAGACAGACAGACAGACAGAGAGGGGTGCACGGCTGCCTGACATGTCTGTGTGTGCGCGTTGGTGTGTCCATCCACCTGTCATAGTCTTACTATCTCGGTTTCGGGATTGCGTCATTCTTCTACGGCGTGGGGACCATCTCACAGGTGGGCAATCGATCAACTGAGATACAGAAAGAGACGCCAACCGCCACTCATTCTCTCACCCTCCCTCTCCCTCCCTCCCTCCCTCCCTCCCTCTCTGCGCCTACGTGTTGCAGGTGGTGCCCATCTGGACGGCCGTGTTGCTGGCCATCGGGCAGAATGTGGCCTCCCAGCGCCTCAAGGAGGACAACCAGATCACCTGCCTGGCCCCCGCCCGCATCGCCATCTGCGGCAAGGTGCGCGTCATGTGCTTCGACAAGACCGGCACACTCACCAAGGAGTACGTCGACTTCATCGGCGTCCACCCCATCAAGACCAACAAGAAGAGCCCGCCAGTCTTCACCTCGCCCATACTCGTGGCTGCGCCGCCATCGCCCCCGTCAACGCGCGACAATCTGCAGATAGAGGAGGAGGATGAGAGCGGCAGTGGGTCGTCCTCTCCCCTGCCGCTGCCCTCAACCATCCCTGACGTGGTGCTGCGCGGACTGGCTTGCTGCCACTCCTTGACGCTGCTGTGTGACGAGAGGACCCCCGTGAGCACGCCCAAGACCTTCAAGTCGAGCCAGGACGCCACTCTCATCGGCAATGAGCTCGAGAGACGGTGCGGCACGTGCACACACACACACTGAGGGGGGGAGAGAGAGAGAGACGCAATGGCCGGTGAGTGTGGTGTGTGTGAGCAGGATGTTCATGGCGACTGGCTGGGTGTTTGAGGAGTGGCAGGACAAGGCCAAGGGGGCCCCACGTGTCCGGGTCAGGGCGGCACACTCGGACGGCTACAGCGGGGCCGAGGTCCTGCAGGCGTTCGAATTCGACCACGGCAGGCAAACCATGAGCGTCGTCACCAAAAACCTTGAAACAGGTGAGACAAAAAGTCGGATCCATCCATCCATCCATCGACGTGTGTCTGTGTGTCAGTGGAGCTGGCCGTGTACTGCAAGGGGAGCTACGAGAACATCGCCAAGCTGTGTCCGCAGGGCAGCGGCAGCGGCCACCCGCTGGCCTACTTCGACGTGGCCAACGGGTACGCCAAGCAGGGCATCTACGTCCTGGCACTGGCCACCAAGACGCTCCCCAAGAACACCCCCGTCGACACGCCCTTCGCGCGAGACGACATCGAGAAGGACCTAACGCTGCTGGGGCTGATCCTCTTCAGGTCTGATTGATGGATGGATGGATGATGGAGGGGAACACTGATGATGTGGTGTGTGTGTGTGTGTAAAGGAACGAGTTGAAGCCCGAGAGCCCCGATGCGATCAGGAGCCTCAAGGCCGGCAGAGTGAGACCCGTTATGATCACAGGTCAGTACGGGAGCGGGACACCACATCGACGCGCTCAGCCGCATTGTGACCTCTTGTCCAATCGATCGCAGGTGACAACGCCCTGACTGCCGTGACGATCGCCCGCAATGTCGGCATGATGGCCGACACATCACCCGCCACATCGGCATCGGCAGACATCTCCGCTACCACCACACCCACTGCCGCAGCAACGGCCACACCAAACCGCCCCTCACTCAAACACCAGCAGCAGCAGCGGCAGCGACAAGGCAGCAAGGACGTCCTGTGGGACGCCGATGCCGACCTCTCCCCCCAGACGAAGCAGGAGAGGTACCGCAGTCGTCGGAAGCTGAGTGCCGACCCGCTGCCGCCCCAGCAGCCGGCAGAGGTGGACAGCAGTGTGGGTCGTGTGGTGCTGGGAAGCGTCAAGAGAGGCGGCCATGGGGAGGGGGCGGTGGTCGAGTGGCGAGACGTGGACACCAATGACGTCGTCAGCGAGGCCCAGATCTACCACACTGAGGTGAGAAGGAGACAGAGGAACAAGCTTGAAGCGTGTCGGTCGATTGTTTGTGTGGGTGATTGATGTGGATGTGTGTGTGTCAGGAGTTCCAGGACCTGGCTGTGACGCAAGAGGCCTACGACTGGCTCTGCTCCCACAATTACGTCCCGGAGGCCTCTGCGGCCAGCCATGACAGGAGTGACGAGACCACCAAGCTGCTGGCGGCCGAGGGTCAGGTGAGGATTCCCATGCCGGCATCGGGCCAGCAGCAGCTGCTCATCGACAAACTCCTGCTGAGGATACGCATCTTCGCCAGAATGACCCCAGCGGTTAGCGAGACAATGGGCGGGCCGCATCGACCCACCAAGCCATCCATCCATCCTTGTGTGTGTGTGTTTTGTGTGTGTCAGGGGAAGGTCAGAGTGATCAAGGCCTTCATGAATCAGGGCTTCATCACGGGCATGTGTGGCGACGGAGGCAACGACTGCGGCGCGCTGCGGGCTGCACACGCGGGAGTCGCCCTCTCAGAGGTGAATGAGATCTCATGGCCTTGTTGCGCCTATCGGGCCATTTTCGTCTCTGTGTCTGTCGACTATGTGTGTGTGTCGATGTGTGTGTGTGTGTGTGTGGATGTGTGTGTGTGCGTGTGTCTGTGTGTGGTAAGGCTGAGGCGTCGATAGTGTCGCCCTTCTGCGCGCGGAGCAAGAGCCCCTTGGCGGTGGTTGACCTGCTGAGAGAGGGCCGCGGCAGTTTGGTGACGTCGCTTGCGTGTTACAAGTTCATGGTCATGTACGGGCTGCTGATCACCCTGGCCAAGGTGGTGCTCTTCTCGCTGGCCAACTCGATAATGCCCGAGCTCGGCTACTTCTACTTCGACATACTAATCGACCTCGGCCTGGCGTACGCTATGACACTCTGCAGGTCAGTGCCTCACTGAGTGCCTGTGCGTATTGACTGAGATGGGTTTGTTTGCCATGTGTGCAGACCAAAGAATCGTCTTCGCATTCGGACGCCGACATCGAGTCTGCTCGGGCCGCACACAGTCGTGTCGATCGTCGCCATGATGGTCCGTGGAGGGAGGCAGGGAGGGAGGGAGAATGACACAAACATGCGAAGGACCGGCGGATGGATTTGCTGCGTGTGTGCCCTTGTCTGTGTATGTGCACAGGCGATCAACACGGGTTTCCTCTGGCTGATGTTCGTCATGCTGCGGGCACAGGGTGAGCGAGAAGGGCCAGAGAGCCATCCAGCCAGCCAGCCACCCCACACACATGGCCTGCTGCTGTGTCTTTTGTCTGTTGTGTGCAGGTTGGTACACGCCTGCCCTCGAGACCTCCAAGAGCTATCCCATTTGGGCATGGTGGATGAAGTGAGCAAGGGCATAGACTGGCCATTGCGCATTGCCCATCGATCGATGGATGGATGGATGGATGCGTGTGTGCAGGAGTGACAACTATGAGACGGCATGTCTGACGCTGTGGCTGGGCTTCCAGCTGATCAACGCCGCCCTCATCTTTTCCTTCGGGGGCATGTTCAGAGAGAACGTCTTCAAGAACAGACAACTCACCCTGTAAGTAAACATACCACCAAGCCAGAGAACGACACGCGCCACAATGGCCGGCCCTCTTGTGTGTCTGGTGTCTGTCGTTCAGGTGGTGGGCCGGGCTGAACCTGGGCCTCCTCTACTGCATGTTCGCCGGCCCCAACATGCTGACGTGCCTGTTTCGGCTCAACTGTGACGACGCGACGTCCCGCGCGACGGTGGTGCCCTTCCTGCCGCGTATCTCGTTCATGGGCCGCGGAGGGCCCTTCTACGGCCCCGACGGCCACAACATCTTCCCGTGGAGCTGGAAGGCCATGTTCCTGCTGCTCAACGCCTGCAATGTGCTCATCAACATCGTCTTCTACAAGTACGTCATGCTGGGCGCCCCCGCTCAATACTATCGGCAGAAGGGCGAAACCAAATTCAAAGCCGAGAACGTACCTGTCTGATAATGTGACATGTCATTGAGGCGATGCGGTCTGTTGGATGGGACTGACTGGCTGACCGTTTGGCTGGCTGCCTGGGACACACACATGCGGGCGGGTGAAGAGAGAGAGGGAGAGGGAGAGGTGCGCGTGTTGTGCGTGGCTGGCGAGTTTTTCCCTCTTAATTGCATTCGGTCGTTTTTCTTGGTTGGTGTTGCTACACTCACGTCAAGAGTCACGTGGCTGCCTAGCTGCTTGCCTGTCTGGCTGCTTCAATTGGCTGGCCGCCGCGATTGAGTTTTGTCTGGCTGTCTGGCTGTCTGGCTGGCTGGCTGGCTGTCTGGCAGTCTCCTCGGGCTGTATACACTGCGCAGTGAGAGAGGGGGAGAGTCTTGCTAAGGCGTATCATAGCCATACACACTCTTGCAGTCATTCGCTCATCGCCTCGATTCCGCGGAACCGGACATTTACAAATTTACCATGCGGAGCCGCAAATCCCTGGTATGTTTGAAGCAAACGCTCCTTTCGGCGGACCGGAGGAGGTCCCCTCCCCGATCCACTTCATAATCGGGTTGTCGATTATGTGTTTGGCTGGTTTTGGCGGGCTGTGTTCGATCGCGCACGATATCGCTGCCTTCTTCGGGTGGCTGAATGGTCAAAACGCTGAGGTGGCTCAGCGTCCTGCGGGTGCCGCTGATGCCGCAGGAGCTCCTGAGCATTTTCGGATCTACCTGTGGATCTGCCTGTGGATCTTCGGTGGTTTGTTTGCTCTCTTGAGTTTGTTTGGTCTCTTGAAATGGATATTGATAATATTTGCGTGGACCGGGTTTTTGTACTGCTTGATAATCGGCATTCTGAATCTCTGCTGCCTTGTTCCAGCGCTGCGCCCATGGGCGCTGCGCCAGCTGACCGCTCTCAAGCCTGACGTGCCTCAGCGTCCTGCGGGTGCCGCTGATGCCGCAGGAGCTCCTCAGCCTCCCGCCCGGCCGGCGCTGCCGCACACCGTGTAGATCCTCGCCCTGCACCTTGCGAGAGAGTGCGTTTCCGGGGTGTGGACGCTGCTTTTATCAGAGAAGTACTCGACAGAGGTGAGTGAACGGGTGAGTGACCAAGAGCAAGGGGCGGGATGGATGGGCTATTTGCGTGGTTTGCGATTAATGGATGCAGTTCCTAACCATGAGTTTCCGGCCTCCGTGGAGCGGTGTCCCATCTCATTGGCCGTTCCGCGCACTCCCGTCATCACACCCTCAGGTACGCATGTTGAAGCTGACCACCAGCCATGCAGGTAGCTCATTTCCTCTCACCCGTTGCTTCTCACCCACGCAGGGCACTGCTACGAGCTGTCGGCCATCCTCCGGCAGATCAGCGACCGCGGAGTGGACCCTCTGACGCTGGAGCCTCTGGGAGAGGGTGACTTGGCTCCGAACCGATATGCTGTGCACCACATCGAGTGCTGCGCCCGACAGGTACTGTACGCACGCCAATTGATTCAAAGGAACGATGAGCTGCATCAAGAAGCGCTTCTGTGTGTTTGTGCCAGATTGTGTCTGCTCGGCGAGCGGCGGCCGCTGGAGCGGCATTGGCGGCCGATCATGCGACGAACACTCATCGTACACACACAGAGAGAGGGCAACACACGTGTGCGGCCCATCGTAGCTTCCGGGTGGAGCCGTGTGTTGTTGGTATTTGATGTGTAGGTATGAGCCTTCTGAAAATGTCATTCGCCGACTACAAAGACTCTATCACCGTGACATACGACAGCCTGACGCCGCCATCCACACTCGTCGAAAAGGTCAGCAGCTCGGCTCCACCACATGTGTACAAAGAATAGCAAAAGATGGAGAGGTCGGCTATGTGTCTCCTTGTTAGTTTCTGACCAACACGGATACTGACGCCATGGGCCTCATCCAGTGGCACAAAACGCACAGCCAGGGCAACACACACGTGAGGACAAACCCACACACCAATGCTGCCGGCCACCGCTACACACCTCCATTTGTATTTGTGTGTGTGTGTGTGTGTGTGCGCAAGTCAGTTCGTAGAGGTTGACGACGTGGTGTGGGGAGAGTTTGAGACCGAGATGATCAAGTGGCTCAACGACTACAACCGTGACAACCAGGAAGTGCCACGCCAGGCATTCCCCCGTCGCTCCATCACAGGCTTCGCCCCCGTCCTCATTCGCGATGCCGTCACAGCCATCATCGCCGAGGCCCTCAAATGACCACTACACACACAAACCTGCCACCGACGCAGACCACACAAGTGAGCAACGGAGAGCACAACGAAGGGAGAGAAGTGGGGAATGGTGCAGTGTATGTGCGGCCGGGGTGCTGTCTGTCTGTCTGTCTGTCGCCCAGCTTTCCCTCCACCCCTGCTGCTGGCGGGCTTACAAAGCTCTTCATACCATACACACACATTCATGTTCATACTCATGTTCATATTCGTGCACTTCCTCCCATCACTGACATTTGTTGGGTGTCCGTGTGAGTGAGTGAATGATGGGATGGGTCGGAGAGAGCCATACACACACGCACACACACACACACACTCACAGAGCGAGAGAGAGAGACCAATGCCGACAGTCAGTGTCGACAGGCAGCCTGAGGCGCACACACTGCAGCGCGTGATGGGTGTGACATAAAAACAGACATTGCAAGTATGACACTATCGAAACGCAGGCAGGCAGGTAGACAAGACATGCAGTCTCTCTCTCGCACACCAACGCACCTGCAGTCTGTGTACATGGTGAGCTCTTCCGCTTCTCATGGCCATTCCCTTGCTGCCTTAGGTGTGGGGTGACATCATGGCCATTTCGTGTGTGCAGGTGTGTCTGTGAGGAACACTTTTTTCAATTCAAACTCCGCCTGTACAGTCTGTCTGTCTGCGTCAGTCATAGCGCTCGGCTGAACATGGTGGACATGAAGTCGCCACTCAGATAAAGGTCAACAAATGCTCAACCAACAAGCAAGCTGGCTATCACTAAGGCAGCCCGCACAGCCCCATCGCCTCTCCACTCTCTCACGCCCGGCCCAATGGCATCTATCGCTCCAGTGTAAGTCTGCTGTCGTCAGTGGACACCACCACAAACGGCGACCCGGCCGATGCCAAGGCCTCATCCACAGCACCAAACGCCAACTAGACAGGCGAGTGACGCAGCAGGTGCGGGCTCCCGCTGACCAAATTTTGAGTCACCTCCCCGCCGAACTCGACCCGCTTGAGCCCGGTGTGTTGTGCATGACGGCCATGATGAAGTCGGTCTGCACACTGCCGAAGCGGTCGTGGACGCAATAGGGCATGCTAATGCACAGCGCCTTGATGGGCGGGAGGCGGGCGGCGAGCTCGGGCGTCGTGAAGGGGTGGTTGATGGGGCATGTCTGTGGTCGGAATGCCCCGATAGGCTGTGCGGGCATAAAGCTCAACACCACCTGGTCCACACGGAGGGTCACATCGAGGCACTCGAGTGCCAGCTGACCGAGAAGGCCGGATGCGGCCAAATTGGATGCGGCCTCACTTGGCGGCGGCTGGCCGGTGCCGTAGGTCGTGTCGTATCGGCTGATGGGGACGTCGGCGACTAGCAGCTCCCTCACCCCGCCCTCTCAAACCAAATGGATGGATGGGGTCATAATGAAGACATAACACAGTCGCGGGAAGCGATCGCACGGTGTCGCTGGGAGGGAGGGCAGCGCGCCGTTGGTGACGAGATGAGGGTCTTCGATGGTCAAGTCGGTGACCGACTCGAACACGTAGTCGCCGAAGCTGCCGGATGAGGGAGCACGAAGCGACGGATGTCGCCGGCGCACGGCGACGGCTATGTCGTTCGAGGACACATGGCGTACGCTGACAGCCAACTGACGTAGAGGGCATACAGGAGGCTGAGGAATGAGTTGCTCGCGTGGGAAGAGCGTCAGGGAGGGACGATGGGCGTGAAGAAAGGGTTCAGTCGAAGGAGTGCACGCAGCTGCCTGACTTCCTCCCTGACACTGTCGCGGCTACCCGGCTTGGGCTTGATGATGAACCGTATCGGGTTCTCTGTAGTTCCCTCACCTGAATGGACGATGGATGGATGGATGGATGGCACACAAACACACGAACGAACGAATGCTTGTCGGCGTGATGTTTTCGTTGATTGCCTCCTGTGTGTGTGACGACTCACCTTGGTTGAACACGTCCTTGACAAGAGAAAGCGGAGAGGGGATGGTCTTACGGCCTGATGGATGGAGCAATGCGGCGGTGACGCCGTCCACACGAAGTACACAGACACACACACACACACACACACACAGAGAGAGAGAGAGAGAGATGTGTGATACCTAGTCTGTGATACATGCGCTTGTTCCTTCCTGTCTGTCTGTCTGTCTGTCTGTCTGTTTGCCGCTGACTGACCAGCGAGATACTTGTTTGTAGTTCTGACATCCAGCTCCAAGTAGGTATCGTTTCCCACTTTGCCCTTGCCTATGTATAGCTGCTGCGCCCTATCCTCTAACTGCTCCAGCGTCGTCGACGCGGTCACCGGGACCGGCACCAGGCTACCGACATTTTCGCCATCCGGCTTGAACACTCGGCAGAGCACCGGGGCGGAGGATGGCATCCCAGAGCGGAAAGCTGCGAGCGGAGGTGGCCCGGTGCCACGATGTGTGTTTGGAAGGGGAGGACGGGAAGGGGCAGTCATGCTGCGAACCAGCGGCGCGTTGACGAACGAGGCGCCGCCATCGCTGTGCACGTGCTGCAAGCAATCCACAACACACACACGCACACACACACAGAGAGAGAGAGAGAACATCATGGAGAGAACAACACACAGCTGGTGACTCGAGTAGACAAGACCTGAGGCTATGCAATGGGCCCGGACTGACCTGCTTCAAGCTGACGGCGTCAACCGTCGGGAAGCACAGCACCAGGGCGAATGTCAGGGCGAGAAGCCACAAGCCAAGCATGCTGGAGGAGCTGCCGCTGCCACAGAGAGCTGCGAGTCGAGTGGCGAGCAAGGCAGAGGAGATCGGAGAGGCTCAGCAGCAGCAAAGGGAGCGGCTCTCCGGTCAGCAAATGGAGAGATCGGACACGGCTGACAGCTGAAAGGGATCTGCTGATGTCGGAACGTCACTAAAATGCCCTGTATGGCAGAAACAGGATATGGACAAAGGCTGGTGCGGTAAGGCAGATTCGGCGCGAAACCCAACCCATTTTCCAAGCTCGTTCGGATCTGACGAGTTAGGTGTCCTCGTCCCTAGGGCGTGTACATCGCCGTGATCTGGACATTGGTGTCGATTTTCGCTGCCCCGGATGTCGTCTGTGCCGCCAGAGGCGAAGCATCTGCTGCCGTACGTCAACAGGGCCAAGGAGCTCGTGCAGGTACACACACACTCACACAGACGCAACAGGCGAACCGCCGCTGAATGACCACCAGCCTCATCTCTTGGTGTGCCGTGTGTGCATCGTGTTCTGTTGTGTGTGTGTGCAGCATGCTCCTCTCGGTAAGAGGCGATGGAAACGACTGAAGGGTAACAGGTCAATGCACCGCTGTTTGTGTGTGTGGCTGTTCTTGCCTGCTCTCAGTGTCCTTCTATTGCCATCTGTATGTGGCGGATCAGCTCGGCAAACTCAGGAAGGCACAGGGCGACAAACGAGGTGGGTGACGATGCCACAGGGGGAGCGAGCTGTCGAAAATGCTACCGTCTGTCTGTCTGGCTGGCTGGCTGGCTGGCTGGCTGGCTGGTTGCCCTTGTGCAGAGTTAACGAATATGTTGCTGCAGGAGATAGAGGCGGCCGAGAAGCTCAAGCCGCGCATCGACACTTCTAACGGACAACGAGAGATGGAAACATTCGCAATCGGTACACACACACCACCCACGCACACACGCGCGTGGCTGTCTGCCTATCTATCTGCTGCCTGTGTGCATGTCCAGGTGTGTTTGAGGCTGCCGACGGCGAGGATCGTCGCGGTCCGATCACAGACAACACCGTCCGCAAGTTCACAGTGGCCGTCCTCTTCTTGGACGTCCTCACACAGTTCGGCGAGCTGGCTCCCGACCTGGAAGAAAAACGGTAGAAATGGATCCAAAGGATGCATCGCTTCCATCGTTAAGTGTTCGTTGGGCTGGGCTGCAGGCGTTATGCCAAGTACAAGGCGACTTACATCCGCAAGTGCCTCGCCGAGGGCCGCACACCCGACCCAGGCCCGCCGATGGAGCAGGCAGACGACCAACACATGCCGGGGGCGCCCACACACCCACTACCACCACCAGCCATGCCGCAGCAACCACCGCCAACTCAGCAGCAGGCGTCCCCCTCCTTCCCCCCCGCCCCCTCCAGCATCAGCCCCCCCTCATCGACCAGCGAGCCGTCGGTGGTGCCGCCCGCATCTGCGCCGCTGCCCCCTCCCAGCGACTCGAGCAATGTGTCGGCACCGGCAGTCCCTGCTGCCACCGGCCCGGCGGGGCACCTGTCTGCCAAGGCTATGCAGGACGCACAGAAGAAGGCCCAGTACGCTGCCAGTGGTGAGCAATGACTTGGGGGGCGAGGGATGGTGCGCGTGTGAATGTATGTTTTTCGCATGATGTGTGTGTGTGCAGCGTTGTCGTTCCGTGACGTGCCGACGGCGATTGAGAATCTGAAGGAGGCGCTGAGGCTGCTCGGGGCCAGCTGACCAGATAGATACCTACCGTGATGGGTGTGGTGTGTGTGGTGTGAGCGGCTTTGGTGAAGGAATGTTCGTTTGTGTTTGTCAAGCCAGTCTTGTCGTCATGTTTTTGATGGGGGGATGAGCCGAGCCCAGAGGGGAGGGAGTGAGGGAGTGCACTTCCGGTGCGGTGACTGTGTGTTGTTTGTACACTTCTTCCTTCGGCGTGGCGGATGGTATGGCACTCACTGCATCCATCCATTCATTCATCAACGTAAATGCTGTGAGTACGAAATGTGTGTTGACCGACGGATGAGTGAGTCGAGTCACCACGCACGGCGCACAAACGGGCAATCATGGAAGCAAACAAAACTGTCTTTGAAAATGTACAACTCACCCTATTGCCCCCACCGCCCTCTCAGTCAGTTGATGCCCAACGGCACAAACAGCCCGATCCCCCTGTCGATGCGGCCGAGCTGCTGCCATGAAAATTGGCAATCCTGGTCGCCCAGATGCTCGTTGAAGCCCTTGACCACCCCAGCCACACCATGGGTGGTCGCCTCGTCCAGCCGGGCCCGGTGCACCACCTCACGCACACCCATCAGCTTCACCTGCCCGCCACTGCCGCGGACGGCAAAGCACTGCAGGGGCGGCACGGTCACCTTGACGCGCTTGTCGCCCTGCTGCTCGTGCCTCGTCCCGCCCACCACCTCCCTGTTGCTGCTCGTCTGAGTGGCCGCCGACTTGACGAAGTGGGCGACGGCCGCACGGACGCGGCTCCTCAGTACCGACTCACCGATGAGGTACTGGTCGATGGCGGCCACAGCAGCGGGGGGCTCGTGCAGGAAGGCGCCGATCTTCCAGCCGATGGCCTCTGCCTCGTGTGGTCCGAATGCCATGTTGGATGGGGAGGCATGGGGGTGGGCGCCGTCGTGGTGGGGGGCGAGGGGCAGCAGACGGGCGAGAAGCATCGAGTGGTCGCGCTGGGGGGCGAGGGCGCTGTTGATGGCCGACATGACGGCCTCGGACAGCTCACTCAGCACTGTCGCATACTCGGCCAGCACCAGCTGGCGATGACGGCGCTCCTCCTCAGTGGCTGTGGGCATGCGGGCGATGGATGGGGCCGCCCCGCCCCGCCCCGCAGCAGCACACCGATGGTGGCCTTGTAGTTGCGGATGTGTCTTGAGCGCCCCTCGCCCAGCTCCTCTCCATGTTGCTCCTCTCCCTGCTGCTGCTGATCGAGCTCCTCGGCAGCCTCTGCGAGGGGTGTCAGGTTGGCCTGGTTTGACCTCCCTCTGTTGACGTCGTCGGCTGTCAGCTGGCGGCACAGCCAACGAGCCACACAGGGAGAGCCATGAAACGCCGCGATGTGCAGTGGCGTCCAGCCGATGGGGTCTGTTGCCGTCATGTCGGCGCCGTGGCTGGTTATGAGGTCCAGATACTGGTCGATGAATTGCTGGGAGAAGATGGAGGGGGCGATGGCCGCCAAATGGACCAGACTGTCTCCACCGAACCGTTCGGCTGCGACTGTGCTGTCGTGCTGGATGAGGCGACGGTACACCGACATGAGGGCCGCCTCGTACTCACGAGTGACGGAAGGGGCATAATCAGAGACGTGGGGAAACTCCATCACCCTAAATCCCCGCACATTGGCCTGGCGCTCCAGGAGGGCATCCACAGCCGTCTGGTTGCCCGCCGCAATGGCCATTTGGATGGGCCGCTCTTCCCCTCCGGCGGCCGCATTGACGTCCGCCCCGCCGTCGACGAGTGTGTTGATGACGTCACGCTGAAGCTGACGGGAGGACCACTGCGGCAGCAGCACGGGCACCTTTTGGTTACCAGCGCCGCTCGCGTAGAGGAATGGGCGCTTTGTTGGGCTGTCGATGGCGTAAGCCAGACAGCTGTATCGCCAGCATGGGGTGTAAAAGTCGCGGACACGAAGATAGCCGCGCAGGCTGCCGGTGGCTCTCGGGTTGGCTCGTTGACGGATCAGCTGTGTGACTTGTGTGTGTGAAGTGAAGGTGCGCCGAATGCAGCCCTCCATCAGCTGCCGAGTCACACCAGTGACGCCCCTACCAGGCACGATGTCGACGTCATCGAGCCCCAAGCACCCGGGCGGCATAGCAGGTGGTGCTTGCGATGCGGCAGACGACGGCTGGGCCATTACGCTGAGTCACACACCTGCATACACACCCAGATACACACAGACGCACACAGTCACTCCGCATCATTCCCTTCCTTCTAACGCTGCTGGCGCACCTGTGCCCTGGTCGGTCAGTCGACGGCCGCCACTCACTCAGTCGCACTCAGGGCCCTGCATGCAGCACAGAAAAGCACAGTCACTCTTGCCGCCCGCGAGTGGTCAGACTCTGGCAAGTCCATACCATTTGAATTCAGTCCAGAAGAGAGGCCCGATGCCTCGTAGCAACGAAGCATTCCCAAAGCTTTTCTCCTCTTCACCTCCCTCCTGCTCGCCACCAATTGCGAGCTTAGAAGTGGGCGAGCAGAGGGCTGACATCGTTGGATGGCTGGAGGCTGGCGAGATCTTTTGTGTTCATCGTGGCGAGTGGTCAAGATCTGCCGCTCATGAGCCTCAGGAGGGGATGCAGGCCATCGTGACGTTATCATGAACATGCGGCAGATGCAGCAGATGCAGCAGATGCAGCAGAGGAGTCAACACAGGTCAGATGGGTCAGGTGAAGAAAAGAGCTGTCTGTGATGACATCCAGTGCAATGCAATGCGAGTATGTGTGCAGGTCGGTGGTTCGGGCGTTCAGGAGGGGTGCGGATCTGACGGGCCGGTGCCTGCGGATGACTGGCGGGACGCTCTCTCTTATTGTTCTGCTTATTGTTATGTTTGCGGAGCTTGCAAGGCCCCTGAATGCCTTCCGTCACACCAGCGTCCCTCCGAGGCCGTGGCTACAGCGGAGGTTCAGGGTGCAACGCAGTGGCCTGACAATGAAGCAACGGGATGATGGCGTGCTCGTGGTGCCTGAGCACGGCAACAGACTCCACTTCGTCTCATTGGTGCGACAGAAGATGGGACAATCATCCGGTGTTCTGTTCACGTGTGTGTCTGCGGTCAGGGCTGCCCGCGGAACCTGGTTGACTCTGAGTTGATGCTGGGTAGGATGGGTGGATGGCTGTGATTGTGGGTGCTAGGTCGTGTGTTGTGTTGTGTTGCCTAAGGTATCCTCTTAAAAAACGGCTACGAAGTCACAGACAACATGCAAGGTGACAAAAGGGACGCAAACAAACGCATCCGAGCACACCACACCACAGCACACGTACCCACACACGCCCTTTACGTTATGACTGCCTCAGAGGCCGATCACATCGTCGTCAACACGTGTGGTTTCCTCGAGGCCGCTCGCCGTGAAAGCCTCGATGAGATAGGCAAGGCGGTGGAGGCCAAGAAGGATGGCGCCAAGGTGATCGTGACGGGCTGCATGGTCAACGAGCACAAGGACAGGATCGTCCAAGAGACCCCGCACATCGACTACATGCTCGGCGCCGGCAATGTGGAGGACATCCTCACCGCCGTCCGCTCCACCACCCCTGGCGAAGCACTCACTGCAAAGTCATTCATCCAGGCCGGCGACATCCCGCGTAAGCCGCCCTGTCCTTCCCACCCTTGGTGCACAGACATCAAACATACACCCCTTGTCATTGTCTCTGTGCAGGCCAGCAGACGACGCCGAAGCACTTCGCCTACCTGAAGATCGCCGAGGGCTGCAAGAAGCGGTGTGCGTTCTGCATCATCCCGGCCATCAAGGGCGACCTGCAGAGCAAGTCCGTGCAGCAGATTGTCAAGGAGTTCCGGCTGTTGAGGCGGAATGGCGTCAAAGAGATCATTCTGATTGCGCAAGACCTCGGTATTTATGCAAGATGCGCGTGTGGACACTCAGTTTGGCATGAGAGAGAGAGCGTGTGTGTCTCTCTGTCCAGGTGACTGGGGCAAGGACCTCAACCTCTCACAGGAGTTCCCCCTCTCCCACCAGGCAGCCCTGGCTAACGGCACCAGCAGCAGCCGTCAGCAGAAGGGCGGCCTGGTGCCCCTTCTGCGGACTCTCCTCGCCGAGCCGGGCGACTACTGGCTGCGACTCCTGTATGTCTATCCCGACGAGATAGACGACGAGCTCATCGAGCTCATGGCATCCGACAGGCGACTGTGCCGCTACCTCGACATGCCTCTGCAGCACGTCAGCGACGCTGTGCTGCGCCGTATGCGGCGTAGGACGTCCAAGGGTGAGATTGAGGGCCTGCTCACGAAGCTGCGGGCCAAGGTGCCCGATGTGTCTGTGCGGACCAGCCTGATGGTGAGATGAGATGAAGGGAGAGGTGGGGCGGGAGAGAGGATGGATTCTTTCATTGACTGGTTGAGATGGGTGCGTCGGTGCTGTATGCGTGTCTGTGCAGGTGGGGTTTCCTAGAGAGACGGAGGATGACTTCGATGAGCTCGCGGAGTTCATCAAGAGGCACCCGCTTGACAACGTTGGCATCTTCAGGTGACACACCACCCACCAGCCTCACAGACAGAGACACCGACACAGACTGATGCACACCTCTCTCTCTCTGTCTGTCGGCACAACAGGTTTTCTCGCGAGGAGGGCTCCGCTGCCTATGACATGGAGGGGCAGGTCGAGGAGGCGACCAAGCGGCGGAGGGAGGAGACACTGGCGAGCATACAGCAGTCGGTGCTCGCAGACTACCAACGACGCAAGTGGGTCGGCAAGCGCCTCAAGGTCAGTCAGTCAAGCCACCACCCCATCAATACCAAGACACGCACGCACGCACACGCCCCTGCCTGTTTGTGTCTGTCTGCACGGAATGCAATGCAGGTGTTGGTGGAGGGCTTCGTGCCCGAGAGCGACTTCTCTGTGCTGCAGGGGCGGCACGATGGGCAGTGTCCCGACATCGACGGCATGGTGTACCTCAACGAGGGGCTGGAGAGCGTCAGCCGTCTGGGGGACTTCTATGAAGTGGATATCACCGATGTGCTGGACCCCCCATATGACTTGCTGGGGAGAGTGGTGGGCCGGTGGCCGCATGAGGACCAGGACAAGGAAGGTGAGCTGGCGAGAAGGTTGAGTGGCTTCGTGAGGACGTGAGTGAATGATAGAACTTGAATGCGAGGATGGGATGGTGGGTGTGCATATCATATGGCTGATGGTTGGTTGACGAACGAACCGCTATTTACATGATCATTCATTCATCGTCTCTGTCGAAAGAAACTTGCGTGGCACGAAGATTGCCTTACCCTTACCCCTCTTATCCCCCCGCTGCCTCTTCTTGCCGGCCTTTCTCCGCCGCCCTCCCTTGCCATACTCCGAGCCCTCCTCGTCACTGCTGCTGGTGTCGACGTCCATGATGGGTTTGCGCTTCTGCCCGCCGGCAGCCTTAAGCAAGGCCAGCTGCCGGGCCGTCATGCGATTGTCGTCCTCACCCTCACCTGCATCCATGGGAGAGGAAGGGAGCGAGTGGCAGATCTGCCGACCGCAAGGCACGGCGGGAATAAACAACCTCAGCTTAACCCGGTGCACAAAAAGAAGGAGATCTCGGCTCGGCCATGATCCGGTGATTTACATCATGCCCTGTGGCCCATCCATCGCTTGGATTCGCCGTGGTTGCTGAACTCTGTTCTCTCTTTCGTCTCCGGAGACCAACGCCTTTTCGGCCCGCCCGAAGCGCCAGGCCGCCATTCAAGCCGCTGCATCTGCTGCGGCTGATGTGCTGCCCGATGAAGCGCAAGGCAGTGGATGAGCCGATCACGTCGTGTGAGAGCAGCAACGACTCGTGCAGCGACTGGGACTCCCGGGGCGCCAGGAAGAAGCGCAAGGCTCGCCGCGTGGGCAACAAGACCGTCAAGGACAAGGGCGGGAAGGACGGCGTGGGCAAGAAGGGCGAGAAGCGGGCCAAGAAGACTAAGGCGCTGACACCTGACGTGGACATGGAGGTATGTGTGACCGCACACAAAGGGCAGAGGTGTGGGAAGGAGCGAGATGGACGTGTGTTTGTGTGTTGTATCACCTACCATATGTGTGTGTGTTTGAGGTCGGTCCCGAGGACGCGTTGAAGGCTCTGTCCAGGGTGGCTCAGAAGCTCCAGGCGCAACTCAACATGATCAACGCGGCCAAAGCAAAGGTACACACGTGGGTGCAGGGAGGGATGAGAGAGCAGATGAGAAACAGATGAATGTGTGTTTGTGTGATGTATTGATTCATTGATTCGTTTGTTCACTCACTCCTTCAGGCTGAGCAACACCATGTCTGTCTGTATCTTGTACACTCTGTCTGTCTGTTGGGGCACCCACTCGCCGACCAGCACAGACACGACCAAAAAAACGAGAGCCTTCACCCCCCCCCCACCCCAGCAGATGCATGGCTTTTTCTGTCTATCCACAGTCTACACACAGAGATATCGACAAAGAGTGCACGTAGCAGCGAAGCGGCTGAGTAATTCGATGCGATGCATACAAACACAGACAGACGATCGTATGTATCACCCCCGGAACAAACCCAGCACAGGGAATGGGATGCCGCCACAGCAGTGCACTACTCCACACGAACCACCGAACCAACAGATGTGCCCCTTTCTCCCTCCCTCTCTCTGCCTGTCCCTCTCTAATTGTCTCTCTCGGTGCACCAAACCAGCGACAAAGGCACGCAGGGCAAGAGCAGGAAGGTAAGCTTGCAGGCAGGCAGACCATATCGCATCGCATGCCGTCGGTCTATCCTATCGACAGGCGCACATACCATCAAATCACCCATCACCCCTGAGGCCAAACACCCACCGCCACTCACGGCGGGCGCACTGCCCGCATACCCACCACGCTTGGTTGACCAGCCAGCCACCAGACCATGCTTCGGTCGAATCACCCTCCCTCCCTCTGCCCCTCGTGCAATTCCCCACATGTATGTAGTGTACCCCTTCCCAGGACAGTCAAGTCAGCCAGCCACTTGACGGGCCAGCCACCCCACCGCTGTCTTCCCCAGGGTCGTCAAGCGCAGTGAAAGCCCTGAACGATGACCCGATCCTATGCCTCCGCCGCCTCTGCGGGGAGCCGCGACCCACGCGATGCGTCCGAGGCGACATGGCGCTCGACCTGAACGCCGCACCCACACCTCCGTTCAACGAAGGCCCGTTCGGACGATCGATAGCCTGCAGCCGGCGGCGGGTCGAAGAATCCGCGGGCGGCGCCGGCGAGATGCGAGGGGGCCGGTAGAGCACCGAACACAGGATTACGAACACCAGCGGCGCGCAGATGACGATAAAGCCGAAGAGGATGCCGCCCACGGGGCACCGACGCGCTCCCTTGTTCCTCCGAACGGATGGCTTGGACAGGTGAATGTGGACAGAGGGGAGGGGGAGGGGTGGCGCGGGGATGGGAGCGGGATCTTCACCCAGTGATGCTGAGGACATGGATAACAGGTCCCTTCTGATGAGCTGTGATGGCCAAGACGACGGTGCAAGAATGGCGCTTCGTGTAGCTGCGACGAGTGCGATGCGCGCCAGGGAAATCGCACCATTCTCTTCTGAATGGCGCGGTGTACACGAAAGATCGGAGAGATCAAAGGGGAGACAGCAGGGAGAGAGATCAGGTCGCGAGCTCAAATGGCGATCCGGATGTAAATTCACGGGTTCAACGCCCGCATGCAACCGCTGTTCCTCCACCCACCCGCGAAGACAGCCACACACACGATGCTGCTGCTCATCCTTCCTCTCGTCATGATGTTGGCCTCGGTGCACGCTGGATTGCTTGAGGAGTTGTTTGGTCTCGTGAGCAAGAAACAACCCTCTGTGAAGACACAAGGCAAGCAGGACAGCAAGGCGCCCAAGCGGCCGAAGATCAAGGCGAAGGCGAGGGCGAGGGCGAATATCACCACCTTTCCCGAAGCCAAGGACTTGGACGACAGTGATGACAGTGATGGTGGGGAGGGGCTGTTTGCGGCATGTGCTGAGGTGTGGGACGCGCTGCTGCCTGAAGGGTTCCGGGCTTGCATACTCGCTGAAGATGACCTGCGGTACGTACCGCACTTAGACAGACAGACAGACAAGCACTGGCACACAGAGTCAGACAGTCAGACAGACACATAGACAGACACATAGACAGACAGACAGACAGACGGACTCGTGCGTGTCTACCTGTTTGTGCAGCCAGCCGCGCCAGATGGTGGTGTCTTCCGAGACGGATGACGCGCTAGTCTTCATCGACAGGGTGGGGTGCAGCTTCCTCCTGCCTGGTGAGGGGGTGCGGTGCATGAGGTCAATGAGTGAGTGACAGCAGCAGCAATGCGTCTGGTCCATCCACTGGTGTGGTGTGTTGTGTTGTGTTGTGTTGGTTGCGGTGAGTGAGTGCAGGCGACTGCAAAGCTTCGTGTGGGAAAAGTGAGTGGGCAGCAAACAGGCCTCTATTGTGTGTTGATTGTGATTGTGTGTCGGATGGCTTCCTTCATGATCAGAGGGGGACGACCGCATCGTCACAATGAAGGACGTCAACAGAGATGGAGTAAGAGTGGGTGGGGGGATGGGTGGACACGCAGCATGCAGCAAAAGTCACCTACCTGTCTGTCTGTCTGTCTGTCTGTCATTGGCGTTTCTTGTGTTGTCAGCGGATCGACCAGGATGAGCGCTTCGTGCTCTGGGAGGGAGATTCGCTGAGACTAAACCATGGTACACACACACACACACACACACACACACCCGTCGACCGTCCATCGGTGCCATGCCATACCATGCCGTCCATTCAGGCCTCGCCATCCGCGGCGGCTACCTGCTCGCCAGCAATGCGACCAACATCATGAGGTCCACACACACACACACATGCCACGCGGGCTGTCGACCTGCATAGCATAGCACCTGATGTCGATGGACGCACGACTTCAGGTGGCCGTACAAGCCGGGTCAGACGTCTCCTGTGGACGACAAAGAGCGAGTGGTGGTGGTCAAGGGCATCGAGGCAGGGGGCTGTGGGGCGGCCAAACAGGGACACCTGGTGGGCCGGTCTCACAGGTGGACTGTGATTGTGGCTGTGTGTGTGTGTGTGTGTGTGTGTGGCTTGTTGATTCAGACGCGCACTCTGATGGTAGACGATGAAAACAGGCTGTATGTGTCGATTGGGTCACTCAACCCTACATGGCCTGGTACGGAGAGCAACAGACATACAGTGGTGCAGGGAGGGAGGGGCATGATGCCTGAGGGTCTCCATGGATGTGTGTGTATGTGCAGGCGACAGAAACTCATCCAGGGCGCAAGTGCGGCGGTTTCTCAACGTGACTGATCCCCTGATCAAGACTATGGACTGGACTGAAGACGGCAAAGCGTTCGTGGTGAGTGAGCAATAAGGCCCCATAAGGCACACCCACACAGAGTGACGATCTGTGATTGGTGGATCAGCATGGCCTGCGCAACTCCGTTGGCCTAGCCTTCGACCAAAAGGGTGAGCCAGTGGGAGCACATGGAAACTGTGTCCAGCCTCCCTGATCCCATGTGTGTGTCGCATCTCTGCAGGTCGTTTGTGGGGCGTCGACACGAACGATGACGACATTCCCTCCAACGTCACCAAAGACCTCGGAGGCGACGAGTTCGGCAAACGTGCCCACCAACACACACACCCATACACCCTCAGCACACCTCTGAGTCACCTCGCTGTGTCTGCCCCTCTTGTGTCACTCACGTCCATGCAGAGAACCCCGCCGAGGAGATGAACCTCCTCGATGAGTCGCGTGAGGGCAAGTCCTTCGGCTACCCCCGCTGCTGGACAGAGGGCCGCCTCCCGCCCGACATCACGCAGGGGCACAGCGCCCAATGGGCCGTGCCGGGCAGGGAGGACATCAACGCTGACCTAGACGACGAGTGGTGCAGGAACATCTCCAACAACCAGCCCCCCGAGCTGCCTTTGCAGGCGCACGCCAGCCACGTCGGCATTGCCTTCCTGGGCGGCAAGAGGAGCAGCGACAAGTGGCGGCAGAGATGTGAGGAGACGGGGGAGAGTGCCAACGGCGGATTTCCCTGTGAGTACGGGGGCGATGCCTTCCTGGCACAGCACGGGAGCTGCTGTGAGCACACCGACCAAATGATTGGGAAGAAGGTACGTGTGTGTGTGGGGGGGGGGGGGCTGCAGCCGCACAATGGGTGTGATGGATTGCTTGATCAGGTCACCAGGGTGTTGCTGGACGATGGCAAGGTCAGAGAGAGAAACGAAGTGCTGACCCTCTTTGGCAAGAGAGGTGCGTGACGATCCGATCCACTGTACATGTGCAGGGGTGCAGTGTGAGTGTTTTGCGCATGCAGGTGATGATAACTGGGGGATTCGGCCCGTCAGTCCGGTCTTTGACAGCGAGGTCTGACACAGCACATGCCGACACCACAGACAGACACATGGACGGGTGTGTGTCTCGTGTCTTTCTGTGTGGCTACGCCTCCGTCGATCGATCAGGGCCGCTTGTACGTTTCATCCGATGGGGAAGCCGACGGCTCAGACGGAAAGATCATCATGGTAGGTCAACTCAACTGCATACCACGCCCCACCTGTCTCGATAATCGACCGACCTATGCCTGTGCTCGACCCCTCCAGATCTACTACGACCCCTCCCTCATCGCCGAAAGCTCGCCCCCCACCCCCGGCTTCTCCCCACATGTAGCCGACTGCTTCACAGACGAGGAAGCCGGCAGCAGCACATCCAAGTCGGCCCTCCCCCCACACGCCATGAGGAAAGCCATCGATCAGTGCGCCGACAAGTGCCGGTCCGCACCGGCAACTGCCACTGCTGGCGAGGGGTGTGGTGGTTTTGCGGTCGATGAGGAGGGCGGGTGTGATTTGCAGGTGGGGGAGAAGGAGAGCGAAGAGGCGCGGGAGAGGGCCTCATGCAGAGATGCAGTGTACACACGAGATGGTACTCAGACAGACCAGACGGGGGGGCATCCGTCCACATCTCCCATTTGCCCGTGTTGTGTTGTCTTGTGTTGATCGGTGTCCGTCGGCAGGTCCGCCCGGAGGCTATGTGGAGCTAGCCACAGGCAACTGCCGCTCCTTCTCGACATACCCCGCCCCCTCCTCATCCAAGACGCCCTCCTACTCCCGCCACATCCCGGAGGACTACAACGACGCCGCCACGATGTCCTTGGAGGAATGCACCTGGGCGTGCGACGGGTTCGCCTACGACGCCTGCGTGGCCATCGACTACGACTTTGCAAACCCCCAGAGCTACCCATGCCACATCTATGCTGAGGCAGCAGCTGGGGATATGTCGATGGAGGACTGGAGGACGTTGAGGGTGCCCAACGAGCCGAGGAGGTGGTGCTTGGGGAGGGAGGGGAGGGTGGTACCAGAAGAAGTAGTCCCGACAGCCGTCGACACTGAGGCAGAGCCGCCAAGCGATGATGAGGGTGGAGAGGGGGAGGGGGAGGAAAAGGCACAATCCAGAAGCAGCAGCAGCAGCAGCTCTGGTGATGGTGGCGGGAAGGGCGGCGTATCGGATGTGCTTGAGGAGCTCCTCAAGGGGCTCAAGGGGATCTCAAAGCGGGACAGGGAAGACAGGACAGATGGCTGATGAAGGGGCCGTGTGGTGTCTGTGTGTGTGTGTGTGTGTGCTGTCTGTTTGTTCACTTAGTTTTTTGACGTTTTTTTCTTACAGACATCCCCTCTGCCCCTGCCTGCCTGCGTGCCTGTCCCCTCCTCTCTAGAGCTGCTTTCTACTTGGTGCTTATTTGTCTACAGAGGGGATGCTGGTGGGGTTTCCTGATGCGTGTCTGTGCATGCACGTTGCCCACGCAGTCAGTGGAGGAGTGAATGAAAAGACAGACCGATGGACATTTGCGTGTCCACCTACCTCGCTTGATCGGAGTCGTTTTTCGTCATCCATATTATCGGTATTTCTGTACTGCTGCTTTATATATAGTGCGGTCGTGTGTGTGTCTGCTGGTAAGAATTTATCGGCCATGTGTGTGTGTGCGTGTGTGTGTCTGCTCATAGGCGCGTATGGTGTGTCGTTTTCTGCTGGGAAGGAGCGATGCAGGACTGTTTTTTGATGATGTCTCACGACCGAGACACCAATTAGATGTACACTACAGTACACCACACGTGGGTGTGTATCGCATAGTGCTGGCCTGTCTCTTGATCTGCGCGGCTGCTCACTCGTGTGTCGTGTCTCGTGTGTGTGTGTGTGTGTGCGTGCGTGCGTCGGAGGGATCACAACTTCTACCTGTGTGTATCAAATTAAGCGAATGCCGCGCAGACATTGCAGGTCACACACATCCATCACACACACACGCACACAGAGAGAGAAAGGCGTAATCGCTGACCTACACCGACTGCAACAATATTGGAGCGGCAGGGACACACACAGCTGGATGGATGGATGGACCAGTCAGTGCACACACCTATCTACCTGCACACCCCTACACCTACACCTTCACCGACATGGCTACATGGACACACCTGATCTGCACCATGGCCTGCTCAGCACCATGTAGGCTAATTGCTACCTGCACCTTGCTTCAATAAATACACTCACTCACAATACCCAAGCGGCAGCACGCCTCACCACCACACCACACAACAAGCACGGCCGTGCCTGTCTGCCCGCCCGAGCCAGCAGTGGCCACCCTGTCTTCGCCTCGGCTCTCCATCGCCCGCTGCTCATTTACTCCCAGCAGTCGCCCATGATGGTCTCCATGATGCCCTTCGACGCCGTCTGTATCTCGGGGTCGCCCACACCGTCACGCACACGCCAATAGGACACACAACGCTCCATCGCCTAACACAGACACACACAGAGAGAGAGAGAGAGAGAGAATGGCAGATCTCTCTTTCTCTCTCTGTGTGTGTAAACAGACTACCCTTCTGTTGACTTCGGGGTTCTCATGATTGAATCCGAATTTCTCGAGGACGGGTTTCTGCACCTCGGGGAGGACCTTCTTGAGCCGCTTGAGGATGCGGTGCTCCTCAAAGTCAGCCTCGCTCCGGATCGAGCGCAGCCGACGCTCAAACTCTTCGGACTGCATTAAGAATGGACAGATGGATAGATGAGCACAAAAGGCAACGCACGGTTGGCTGTGTGTAGGGGGCGGGCGGCGGGCGGCGGGTGGGGGAAG